CCATCTCTCTGTCCTCATCCCAACATTCCCAACTCCACCATTCCCACACCATCCCATCCAGTCCCATCACATCTCTTCATCCATTCATCTCAACTTGCTACCATCCCACTCGCCCGGTTTTTATCCCATCCTCACCATTCCCATCCCACCATCTCATCCCATTTCCCCAGCCTCTTCCCACCTTCCCACTCCCTACCTTGTTGACCTACCCCACCCCATCCAATTCCTTTGTCTTCATCCCATCATTCCCACCATCATCCCACTACCTCATATTCCCACCATCCCCTCCCCCCAGTCCCATCTCAGCCATCCCATCCCTCCATTGCCCATTTCACCTCAGTCCCACCCAATCCCCCTCATGCCACCCCACTCACCGCCCCCTCGTCTCCATCATCCAGCGCCTCGTCGAGGATGAGGACAGTCGGACGCCGGAGCAGGGCCCGGGCCAGGGCCAGGCGACACCGCTCCCCTGCCGCCAACCGCCCCCCGAGCTCCCCTACCTCTGCGGGGGATCCCATGGGATCAGTGGGATCCAGCCCCTGGGGTCCCCCACATCCCCCTGCCAATCACCCCCATGCTCAGCCACCTCTGCCAGAGTATCCCAAAAACAGCAGGATCCATTTCAGGGGTGCCCCCGTGCTCCCAGCTCTCACCGGTGTCCCAGTCCCACTCCAACCCTGGGATGAAGCCCCTGGTTCCAGGATTCCCCTGGGAGCCCCCCCTGGTTCTCACCAGTGTCCCAGCCTTGCTCCAGCCCCTGAATGAACTCCATGGCTCCGGCAGCAGTGGCCGCCTCCCGCAGCTCTGACTCCTCACAGCACTCCAGCCCCAGCACAACGTTCTCACGGATCGTTCCAGAAAACAGGAGAGGATCCTGCTCCACCAGCACCACCTGCCCCAGCCCCGAGCCCGTGAGCCATCTCAGCTCCTGGTGTCCCCATCCCTGTTCCGTGGCCCGATCCCAATCTTGGTGTCCCCATCACTGTCCCCACTGTCTCCCTCCCTAATCCTACTGTCCCCAACCCCATCCTTGATGTTCCCATCCCATTTCCCACTGTCCCCATTCCTATGCCTGGTGTCCCCATCCTTGTTCCTACTGCCCTCATCCTTGTACCCAGTGTCCCCATCCCATTTGCCACTGTCCCCATCCCACCTCAGCGTCTCCATCCTGTCCCTGGTGTACCCATCCCTTTTCTCAATGTCCCCACCCCTGTCTCCCAGGTCCCAATTCCACTTCAGCCCCCATGCCTGTCCCATTGTCTACATCCCATTCCTGGTGTTCCCAGTCTCCCTGCTTTCCCCACCTGCCGGTGTAGGTACTGGCGTTCATATTCCTGCAGTGGGATCCCATCCAGCAGCACCTTCCCGCTCCCAGGATCCCGCAGCCGCTCCAGCAGTGCCACGGTTGTGCTCTTCCCGCTCCCGTTGGGCCCTGCCAGTGCCGTCACCTCCCCGGAACGCACCTCGAAGGACACGTCCTGCAGGATGGAGACAGGTGATGCTGGAATTCCCATCCCTGGGAATCCACACCTACCCAGGATACGCCTCGAAGGACATATCCTGCAGCATGGAGAGGATGATGCCATCCCATCCCTGGGAATTGCACAACCTCCCCTGGATCTGCCTCGAAGGACACATCCTGCGGAATGACATCGGAATTCCCACGCCTGGGAATCCCCACTCCCCCCAGACCCACCTTCAGCACAGGGCGCTCTGGATGCCCGGGATATGTGAAGCAGACCCTCTGGAAGGTGATGTCGCCCCGTAGCTCGGAGGGCTCCAGTGTCCCCCCAGTGTCCCTCGTGGGTTCCTGATCCAAGTATTCCCAGATTTTCCGCCCAGCAGCCATGTTGGTCATGAATTCATTGAAGCCGATGAGCAGCACCTGGGGAAGGGGAGGGGGTGGTACCGGGATGGATGGAAATGGGGATGGATGGATGGACACATGGATTCCATGGGATCACCTGGACATGGCTGCCAACCGTGTCCCGGTACAGCAGGAAGGTGACAAGGACCCCAGGAGTGATGGATCCATCACGGAGCTGCTGGTGGCTCCGGAAGAGCACCAGGACCCGTATGGCCAGTCGAAGGACCTGTAGGTGGGAACAGGGATACTGGTGTCCCCATTCCCGCTCCTGGTGTCCCCATCCTGTCCCTGGTGTCCTCATCCCAGTCCCGGTGCCCCCAATCTCGTCCTGGTGTCCCCATTCCCAATGTCTCCATAACTGCTCTTGGTATCCCTGTCCCAGTCTCCCCACTTCCTTTCCTGGTGTCCCCATTCCTGATCCTGGTGTTCGCATCCCTTGTCCTGGAGTCCCCATCCTGCTCCTAGTGTTGGCATTCCCATTCCTGGTGTCCCCATCCCTGATCCCAGTGTCCCTATTCTGGTCTTCCCACTCCCATTCCTGCTGTCCCCATCCCAGCTCCTGGTGTCCCCTTTCCTGGGTGTCCCCGTCCTTCTCCCAGTGCCCCCATCCCAGTGTCCTCATCCCTGATCCCATGGTCCCCATTCCTGGTGTTGCCATTCCCATTCCCAGCCCCCCTGACCCTATGGATGAGGGTGAATCCTGCCAGCTCCAGCTCCATCCGCTCCTTCAGCCTCAGCTCCTTGTCCAGGTTCTGCCTGTGCCGCTCCTCCTCCTCCTCCTCTGCCGAGAAGATCCGGATCGTCTCGATGGCGGCGACGGATTCCTGGACCCCTGAGGCCGTCTGGGCGGATGCTTCCAGCATGGATCGCTGCAGTGCCTGCGGAGGCACGGGGGGTGCCCAGCTTTCCCAGACTACTCTCCTGGCCCACCATCCACATCCCGTCCCCAGCAATCCCATCCCATCACACCCATCGCAAACTCACAATTCCATTCCCACCATCTCGCACCTGTGGTCTCCCTCCCATCCCCACCATTCCCATGCCATCATGCTATCCTTCCCACTTCCCATCCTGCCATCTCATCCTATCTCCCAGTCCCCATCTCACAATCCCCATTCTCACTCTCCCATCCCACCCCCCCCCATTCACATTCCAAACATCCCATTCCTTTGGTCACCTTCCCCACTCCCATCTCTCTGGTCCGCATCCAACCATCCCATCCTGTTCCATCCTGTTCCATCCTGTCCCATCCCATCCCATGCCATCCCCATCCCATCTTGTTCCCATCATTCCTATCCCAACTGTGCCATCCCGTCTCTTCTACACCATCCCGATCCCACCATCCAGTCCTCCCCAGTACGCATTCCACCATCCCATCCCCCCATTCCATTCCATTCCCACCATTCCCATCCCATCTCTTTTCTCATCCCACTGTCCTGTCCCCTCTGTCCCATCCTGTCTCCATCCCACCTGATCCCATCCCATCATCCCATCACCTTGGTCCTCATCCCAGCATTCCCATACCCACCATCCCCATCTCATCCCATCCCACCCCACCATTCTGTCCCATCTCCATAGCCTCATCCCACCACTCCCAAATCCACCAATTCTGTGCAGTCTCTTCCCTGTTATCCCTGCCCTATCCCCACTGGCCCATCCCCTGATATACACCCCATCCCACTATCTCATCCTATTCCACCCCATCCCTCTGTCCCCATCCCACCATTCCATCCTGTCCCCATCCCAGCATTCACACCATCCCATCCCATCCTAACTCATCCCCTGTCACATGATCCTGCTCTCCATCCCATCTTCACCAACCCATCACATCCCATTCCATCCCATCTCCATCACTCCATCCTGCCCATCTCCAGCATTCCCATCATATCATCCCATCCCGTACACCCAGTTTCAATCCCATCCCATCCCACCATTCCCATCCCCACCATCCCATTCCCCTGCTCTCCATCCCACCCCCACCATTCCCACTCCATTATCCCACCTCTGTGTCCCCTTTCCACCCCTCTCCTCCCATATTCCCAACCTGTTTCCGGGCACTGTGGATGCGGCGGGTGGTGATTCCGAGGGGCAGCTCCAGCAGTGCCAGCAGTGCCAGCCCCGGTGCCAGCCATACCATGGCCATCCCCACCACCAGCGCCATTCCCAGGCTGCGGAGCAGCAGGTTGGTTCCCCTTGGCACTGCCATGGACACCAGCGGCACCTCCGTGGAAAACCGTGCCGAGAGCTCGGCTGCGGGGCAGGAAAGGAGATTGGGATCATGGGGGGCGGACATGGGATGGGAATGGCAGGGCAGGATGGGACAGTTGGGATGGGATAGCAGGAATGGAGATGGTGGGATGGGATGACAGGATGAAGGTCAGGATATGGAATGGGATGGCGAGATGGGATAATTGCGGGGACAGGATGGGATGGGGACTGGGAGGACAGGATGATGGGAAAGGGGATGGTGGCAACGGGAATGGTGGGAATGGACTGATAGGGATGGGACAGTGGGGATGGGATGGTGGGATGGGAATGAGAATGAGGACAGGGCAGTGGGATAGGATAGTGGGATTCGGAGAGGATGGTAGAATGAGACTGGGAAAATGGGATAGGATAGAAAGGGATGGGATAGTAAGAATGGGAATGAGGGGAATGGGATGGTGGGATGGGATAATGGATGGGTGGGGTAGGATGGGATGGGAACTAGCATAATAGGATGATGGGGAAAGGATGGAATGGTGGGATGGGGACTGGAGTCATAGGATGGTGGGATGAGACAGGTCCCATTACCTGCCGGCATTCCCTGGAAGAAATCCAGGTCCTGGTGCACCAGGTGGGAGAAGAGCTGGAGGCGCAAGCTCTGCCGGAGATGCGCTGCCGCCAGCAGGAAAAGCCACCCACGGCACCCAGAGAACAGGACACTGGGAGGACACGGTGACATTGGGGACGTTGGGGACATGGGGACACGGCCATGGACACCAGGAATGCCATGACCCACCTGGCTGCTTCGGCGGCCACCACCATTCCAACAGCTCCAGCGGTGAGTCCATCCCTGTTCCTGATGGCGTCCAGCACCTTCCCGGTGACGTACGGCCCCGCCGTCTCCCCTGGGTGTCACCAGGACCGTGTCACCACCGCTGGCATGGGGGGACCCGATTGTGGGGGCAGGACTCGATTGAGGGAACAAGATGTGATTTGGTGGCAGTGGGAGACAATTTCAAGGGGTCAGGACTCAATTTTGTGGTGTCAGTACCCAGTGTAGGGATTTGAGACCAGATTTAGGGGTTCGACACCTAATTTTGGGAGTTCAGCACCCAATTTTAGGGGTCAGGACCCAATTTCTGGGGGGTCAAAACCCATTTTTGGGCATCAGACCCTAAGTTTGAGGATCAAGACCCAACTTTGTGGGGGTTAACACCCAAGTTTGCTTGGTCAGGACCCAATTTTTGGGTAGTCAGCACCCAGTTATGGGGGCGTCACCACCCAATTTTTGGGTGGTCAGCTCCCAATGTAGGGGCTCAGCACCCAACTTTGGGATGGTCAGCACCCAGTTATAGAGCTCAGCAGCCAATTCAGGGCAACGAACAGCCAAGTTTGGAGGTCCAGGATCCAATTTTTGGGGGCCAGCTCCCAATTTTGGGGTGGTGAGCACCCAATTTGGGGGATCAGCTCCCAATTTGGGGGGGGTCAGCTCCCAATTTGGGGGGGGTCAGCTCCCAATTTGGAGGTTGAACACCCAAGTTTGGAGTGGTCACCACTCAATTTAGGGAGTCAGCTCCAAATCTGGGCGTTTAACATCAAATTTAGGGGCTCCACACCCAACTTTCGGGTGGTCCCTGCCCAGTCTGGAGGGAGTCAGCCCCCAGTTCGGGGCTGCAAGGCTCAATGAATGGGGGGTCAGTGGCTGTCCCCACGTGCCCTCACCCTCCCCGCACCGTCACTCACCAGTGGCCGCCAGCACGAGGCAAAGGAAGGCGGCTCCAAGGACTTTCCACTCAGACCAGGCCAGCGCCAGGACCCTCCGGAAGGCAGCAGGAGCCCTGGGGACACCGTCGGGGGTCTTGGGGACACCGGGGGAGGCCTCAGGGATGCTCCCGGGCATCAGGGGCGTGGCCCAGCCCAGCAGGGCCAGCGCAGTGGCCGCGTGGGTGACCCCGAGCCAGGCGGGCACCGCAGCCGCCAAGAGCCCCGGCCCGGCCCCAGGCGGCCCCAGGAGGCTCCGGAGGGTTCCGAAGGCCGCGGGGGTGGCGGCGGCGGTGACGGCCGCCGCGGTGGCTCCGGGGGGCCGGTGCGGGGTCAGGAGCCGGGGGGCTGCAGCCAGGAAGGGCAGGCGCAGGGCGGCCTCGAGCCACACGCCCGCCACCCCCATGGGCGCCAGGGCCGGCACCAGCGGCCCCAGTAACACCAGTGCCAGCGCGTCAGCCACCAGCAGCACCCCGGGGAGCAGCGCGGCGGGCGGCAGTGCCATGGTGGAACTGGCACGGACCAGTGCTCCCGGTACGGCTTCCAGTGCAGCTCCTGCGCTGGGCTTCGGCAGCCTATGAACTCACCAGTTAACACCAGTCAGGATTTGGGGGCTCACCGGTCCACACTAGTGCTCCCAGTCCAGCCCCCTGACCTCACCAGTCCACACCAGTTCTCCGCATATGGCCCCCTCAGTCCACACCAGTGCTCCCAGTAAAGCACCCAGACTCCTCCAGTCCACACCAGTGCTCCCAGTACAGCTGTGCCAGTTCCCCAGTCCACGCCAGTACTCCCAGTCCAGTTCTCTGAGTCCACCAGTCCACAGTGGTGCTTCCAGTACAGCCTGAGATACTCCCTGGTCCCCATCAGTACTCACAGTCCAGACTGGGGTGCTCCCCAGCCCACACTAGTGCTCCAGTCCAGCCCCCTCAGCTCCCCAGTCCACACCAGTGCTCCCAGTATAGACTGGGGTGCTCCCCAGCCCACACCAGTGCTCACCATATGGCCCCCTGAGCTCCCCAGTCTACACCAGTGCTTCCAGTACAGACTGGGGCACTCCCCAGTTCCCATCAGCGCTCCCAGTACAGACTGGGGTGCTCCCTAGTCACCAGCAGTGCTCCCAGTACAGACTGGGGCACTCCCCAGTCCACACCAGTGTTCCCAGTACAGACTGGGGCACTCCCCAGTCAACACCAGTGTTCCCAGTACAGACTGAGGTGCTCCCCAGTCCACACCAGTGTTCCCAGTACAGACTGGGGCACTCCCCAGTCAACACCAGTGCTCCCAGTTCAGACTGGGGTGCTCATCAGTCCACTACAGATTTGGGCACTCCCCAGTCCACACCACTGCTCCCAGTACGGCCCCCTCAGCTCCCCAGTCCACACCAGCGCTCCCGGTATGGCCCCCTCAGCTCACCAGTGCTCCCAGTACAGACCGCTCAGCTCACCAACCCACACCAGTGCTCCCTGTTCTGCCCCCCAGAACGCTCCGCTAAAATTTCTTCCGAGACCACGCCTCCTCCCGCCCCGGCCCCGCCCCGTTCCGCCCCGGCCCCGCCCAGACCCCCGCCCCCTTTTTGCCCCCTCCCCCTCCTCTTCACAACCTGCTCCGGCTTCCTCTGCCCGGTAACCGATGACGTAACGGGACCACTAACCAGTCAGCGCCGCCATCGCGAGCTGTGGGCGGGGCCAAGCTGGGGTTCCCGGGGATTCCCGGGGCGGAGTCTCCGCTGACCCCGCCCCCGCCCCGCGCGCCTTCGGCTTTCCGGGAAACGGCGGCGGCTACCGGGAAAGGAGCGGGGGGACTGGGGGGACTGGGGCGGGCTGGGGCACCGGGATACACCGGGACACGTCGGGATACGCCGGAACCACGACCGGGACCTGCCGGGAGCAGAACGGGGACCACCAGGGACCCTCTGGGACCCACCGGGAGCAGAACCGGGACCCACCGGGAGACACAGGGACCAGAACCGGGAGCCACCGGGAGACACAGGCACCAGAACCGGGAGCCACCGGGAGACACAGGCACCAGAACCGGGACCCACCGGGAGCAGAACCAGGACCCACCGGGACCCACGGGGACTCACCGGGATTCACCGGGACCCACTGAAAGCAGAATCAGGACCCACTGGGACCAGACCGGGACCCCTCCGCGCCCCCCGCCCCCCCGATGTTGTCCCCCACCATCCGCCGGCTCCTGGCCCTGCTGCGCCCCGAGTGCGGGCAGTGGGCGCTGGTGGGGGTGCTGATGCTGGCCTCGGCCCTCGGTACGGGGGGACCCCTATTCGGGGGGGGCAGGACCCGATCTGGGGGTCAGGGCCCAATTTTGGAGGGGCAGGGCCCGACTGGGGGAAGGAAGGAGCCGACTGGGGGGGCAGGACCCAGTTTGAGGGGTCAGAACCCAATTCCGGGGTCAAGACTCAATTTAGTGGGTCAGGACCCAATATGTAGGGGGTCGGGACCCAATATGTGGGGGGGCAGGACCCCTCTGGGGGGTGACAGGGCCTGATTCGAGGGGTCGAGACCCAATTTTGGGGAGGCAGGACCCGATTTTGGGAGACCAGAAACCAATTTGGGCAGTTGGAACACATTTTTGGCTGGTCAGGACCCGTTTTGGAGACAATTTTGGCAGGTTGGGACCAAATTTTCAAGGGTCAAGAACCGGTTTGGGGGGTGACACTCAACTTTAAAGAGTCAGACCCAATTTAGTGGTTCAACACCCACTTTTCAGGGGTCCACAGCCCATTTTGTGGTGCAGATCCACTAGGGAGTCACCACTCAATTTAGGGGCATCAGGACCCAATTTCAGGGCTCAACATCCAGTTTTCAGGGATACATACCCAATTTTAGGTGTGCAGGACCCAATTTGGGGGCCATTACCCAACGTAGGGGATCAGCACGTAATTTTGGGGGGTCAGGACCCAATTTTGGGTTCAGTTGTGTGGGGTCAGGTGCAAATCTGGTGGGCCAATCAACCAATTTTAGGGGCCAGGACCCAATATCGAGGGGATCAGCACTCAATTTTGGGGCTCAACACCTAATTTTGCAGGGCCACACACCCAAGTTTAGGGAGTCAGGACCCAATTTGGAGGGTCAGCACCCAATTTTCAGGGGTCAACACCCAACTTTGGGTTCTCTGGACCCAATTTTGGAAGTTCAACCCCCAAGTTTGGGGTCTTAGCCCGCAATGGAGGGGGTCAGGACCCAATTTCAGAGCTCAACCCCCAATATTGAGAGTGGTCAGTACCCACTTCTTGGGGCTCAGCCCCCAAGTCAGGGGCTCCCCACCCACTGTCGGAGTGTCCCCACAGGCGAGGTGGCAGGCCCGTACTTCACGGGCCACATCACTGACCAGGTGACACAGGAGGACACGGCGGCGACCATGTGGCTCTTGGTGGTGCTGGGGCTCGGCAGGTGGGTGACTGCAGGGGCGGGGGGACACCCCGAGGTGGCGATGCCCCGCGGTGCCCCCTGACCCCGCTGTCCCCACAGTGCCCTCACCGAGCTGGTCTGTGACAGCACGGCGGCCGTGGCGCTGACGCGGGCGCGGGCGCGGCTCCAGCGTGGTGCGGTGGCCGCGGTGCTGCGGGGGGACGTGCCCGGCCCGGGGGGCAGCCTGGGGGACACGCCGGGTGCGGTGGCCGCGCGGGTGACGGGGGACGCGGAGGCGGCGCACGCAGCACTGGCCGAGGCAGTGGTCCCAGCGCTGTGGGCGCTGGCCCGGGCCGGGGCCCTGCTCACCGTGATGGCCTCGCTGGCCCCGCTGCTGGCCCTGGTCACCCTCCTGGTGCTGCCCCTCCTCCTGCTGCTACCACGTGCCATCGCAGGCATCCAGCAGGTACCGAGAGGGACACAGGGACTGCGGGTCCCTTGTCAGCTCCCTTGGCCCCTTGTCACATGTGTGTCCCCAGTGTCACCTCCCTGCACCCCCTGTCCTCTCCCTGGGCCCCTCGTCATCTCTCCAGACTCCTCATTACTTCCCTGGGCCTCTTGTCACCTCCCTTTGTAACCTGTACCTTTGTCCCTGCACCGCGGTCACTCTTCTGGGCCCCTTGTCACCTCCCTCCAGCCCATGTCACCTCCCTGGGCCCCTTGTCCCCTCTCTGCACCCCTCGTCACTTCCTTGTACCCCATGGCACCTCCCAAGGCCCCTTGTCATCTCCCTGGGTCGTGTCCAAGTCCCTCCTGTCCCCTCCTGGTGCCTGTTGTCACCTCCCAATGCCCACTGTTACCTTCTTCTGTCCCCTGTGCCCTCCCTGTCTCCCCATCTGCATGGTGACCTCGAGGTGACCTCCCTGTCTCCAGGGTGACCCCCTGTTCCCTCTGTGTCCCCCCATGATCCCATGCAGTGACCCTGCAGTGACTCCGGTGTAACCCCCGTGTGCTTTCTGTAACGCCCCGTGACTCTGTGGTGACTCCTCTGTCCCCTCCCTGTCCCCACCCTGTCCACCCTCTGTGCCCTCCAACCCTGTGGTGACCCCCTGTCCCGTGTGTCCCCAGGACCTGGCGCGGCGGGCGCGGGCGGCGCTGGCTGATGCCACCGCGGTGGCCGTGGAGTCACTGGGGGCCCTGAGGACCGTCCGGGCCTTCGGATATGAGGCCGGAGTGACCACACGTGTCCAGCAGCGCCTCAGCCACAGCCACCAGCTGGAGTGTGGGGAGGCCCTGGCCTATGGGGCCGGGCGCTGGGCCAGCGGGGTATGGGGACACTGGGGGGGACAAAGGGATGGGGGGCACAGGGGAATGAGGAACAGTGGTATGGAAACAGAGGACGTGGTGGCAGGGGTATGGGGACATGGGGCTGGGGGACGCAGGAATGGGGGAAATGGGGGTGAGGGTGGATAGGGGCGAGGACAGGGTGGCAGGGGGCCCAGGGACATGGGGCATGGGGACATGGGGATGGGGATGTTGGGTGTATTGGCAAAGGGCCAGAGGACATGCGGACATGGTGATCCAGAGATAGGGGACATGCAGATGGGTGGCACAGGGCTGGGGGACATGGGGACAGGGTGGCATTGTAATAGGAGACATGGGGACGTGGCAGCAGGGAGCTAGGGGACATTGGATGCGGTGGCATGGGGATGGGGACATGGGGACAGGGAACACAGGGCTGGTGGACATGGTGGCAGGGGGCTGGGGGACATGAGGACATGGGGTTATGGGGATAGAGGGTATGGAGACAGGGGACATGGGGACACAGGGATGGGTGGCACAGGGATGGGAGATGTGGTGACAGGGGGGCTGGGGACACAGGGATGTGGTGGCATGGGACTGGGGGACACAGTGACATGGGGCTGGGGTGACCCCATGTGACCCTGTGTCCCCATGTCCCCAGTTCCCGACGCTGGTCATGAAGCTGGGGCTGCTCCTTGGAGGGGGACACTTGGTGGCTGCGGGGACCATCACCCCTGGGGAGCTGGTCACCATCCTCATGTGCCACCTGAACTTCACCCGGGCTGTGGATGTGAGGAGCATGTCCCCACTGTGTCCCCAGTCTATTCCCAATGTGTTCCCAACCTGTCCCTCCTGTGTCCCCAACCCATCCCCAATGTTTTCCCTGCTTGTCTCCAATGCATCCCCATTCTGTCCCCAACCTATCCCCAATGTGTCCCTGGTATGTCCCCAGCGTGTCCCTGTCCTGTCACCAGCCCCATTCCCCATGTCACTGTGTCCTCCCATGTCCTCCCACCATGTCCCCATGTCCCCACATCTTCCCAGCTGTGTCCCCATGTCCCCGTGTTCTCTTGGTCATGTCCCCATCCCTGTCCTCTCTGTCCCCACCCCAACCCTATTGTGTCCCCTCCGTGTCCTCAGATCCTCCCCATGTCCCCTCACTGTGTCTCAGTGTGCACCTGCCATGTCCCTACTAGGTCCCCCTGTCCCCATCCATGTCCCAATGCCTGTCCCAGCCATGTCCTCCCCAAGTCCCCAACGTCCACCCTGCCGTGTCCCCTCCATTTCCCCAATCCCTGCCATGTCCCTTTGCCTTCCTGGCTGTGTCCCTCCCTGTCCCCATGCCCATGTCCCCATGTCCACAAATCCCCCAGTGTCCCTGTGTCCCCAGGCCCTGCTCTTGTACCTCCCAGTCCTGGCCAAGGCTGTCGGCTCCTCCGAGATGCTCCTGGAGCTGCTGGACAAGGCCAAGTGGGGGGCACCTGTGGAGACACTGTCACCTGTCACCCCCCGGGGCCATGAGGCCTCCAGGATTCCAGGCCTGTGTCTCAAGGACGTCTACGTAACCTACCCTGGGCGGTCCGAGCCCGTCCTCAAGGTGACAGGGGGGCATGGGGGACATGGGGGGACAGGAGGGGACACAGAGATATTGGGGAAATGGGGTCCATGGGTCATAGAGAGGAGGTGGGGGAGATGAGGTACATGGGGGGACAGGGGAAGATATGGGGGGACACAGATGGGACATGGGGGCTGTGTGGGGATGTGGGGGGACATGGAGGAGATTGGAAGTTGTGGGGGGACATGGGGACACAGTGAGGATAGGGGGG